GCGGCGTGGCCCACGGGGCGGCGTGGCCCACGGGGCGGCGTGGCCCAGGGAGCGATAATTTAATTCTAGATACTGTGACCCGTCTTTAGACTGGTTTTGCTGCCTGCTCTCTAGGAAGTAGAAGGTTATTCTCGTACCTCTCATCTGAATGAATGAAAAAAAAAAAATTCTGCGTCTGTATAGGCTCCACCCACCCATCTCTTCCATCAGACCAAGCCACGTCCTGGTTGTTATTCCCACTAACTTCCTCCAGTATGATTTCCTTTAACACAAAGTTCGTTCATGCTCTCTCTCGTGTTTCCTCTCTCTCTCTTTCCCTCCCTCCACCCAATCAGCTGCTGAAGGAGAAAACATGTTTTGGTGTCATAAGTGTGGTAAACACAGTTTGTTTGTTTGTTTGTACCTTGCTCTGCAGGAATTTGAAGCACTGTTGGTTGAGAACTTCTACAAACTCGGACTCAAAGTCCTGGTCGCTGTACCAGGCACCGCCCGTCACCGACCGGTCTGGCTGCAGGTTGTAGAGCATGTAGACCTTCTTCTTCGAGGCCTGAAAAAAACCACACACACACCAGGTTCAGAACCAGACTGGTTTCTCCCCGTCAGTCTCAGACTTATTCTAGTCTGAGACCAGTCTACTTTCAGATTAGAGATGGGGACCAGTCTGGTTCAGGTCCAAGGTTGAAGCTACTCAACTTTTAAATCCAGGACTGGGACTAGTTAACATTCTGGTTTGCACAGGAACAAACCAAAAGTCTTGGAGGTTTTGGACAGACTATGAAATTTTGGACAGCCCCTAAAACTTTGGACAGACCCTGAAATTTTGGACACACTCAAGCCTTTGGTCACACTCTGGGCCTTTGGACAGACTCCGAGCCTTTGGACACAATCTGAGCCTTTGAACAGACACTCAGTATATAAATAGACTTGATACCTTCATCCAGACACAAAGAATTTGGACTGGTTCCTGGTCCTGTCCCTGAACTCACCGCCACAGACTTGACTGCTTTGATGAGTTTTTTGCTCTCAAGGTTTTTCAGGATTTTGTTGATCTCTGTCAGAGGAAGGTTGCTTTTGAAGCGGATGTCTCTGCTCCAGATTCCTACAACCACACAAACCAACAAAAATATATGTGAAATTCTGATTTTGCTCAGTCTCAGGATTCTGAATCAAACAGGGGGGTCGGTACCTTTATTTCCTGCATCCTCAATGATCTGATAGACCAGTTTCTCCTGGTTGTCTGAGCCTTTCATCTTACTGAGAGACAAAGAGGTGACTCAGAGAGGCAGCATCATACCACGCGCAGAGCCCAGTATGCGTTCCAGTGTGTTTGTTTGCGTTCTGTGTTTAAGTGTGCATTTCAGTGTGTGATTCAGTTTATGTTCCAGTGTGCATTTCAGTATGCGTTTCATTGTGTTTCAGTATGCAAATGCAGATTACTGAAAAAAAATTGATTCCCAGTTAAAATTTTCCTGGAGGATCACTCTATTTTGTAGGTGTTCCAATTAGACTTTAAATCTCACCACAGCACTGAGTCTGCTCTTTTGAGGGTTTTTAATGATATCTTCCTAGCCACGGATGCTGGTGCTTCTGTACTTCTTGTCCTATTGGACCACATCTGCATTTGACACCACTGACCATGAGATCTTCATTTCTAGGCTGGAGCAGTGGGTGGGCATCACTGGGTCAGATCCCAAATGGTTATATCCTACCTCTCCGATAGAACCTTTGGTGTCAACGTCAAGAATTTTATCTCAACATCAGCAGCTCTTTGGTGAGGGGTACCACAGGGCTCCAATCTTGGACAGCTTCTCCTTTCTTTATACCTGCTGCCACTAAGTGATATTTTTCTTAAACAACATCTCATCCCTTTTCATTTTTATGCCGATGACTGTCAAATTTATTTCCCTCTGAAGCACACTGGTGCACGCTCTATCCAACCTCTCCTTGACTGCCTAGTTGACATCAGGGATTGGATGGTTTTAAAGTTCTTAAATTTTAATGGGAAAAAGACAAAAATCATGTTTCCACCTAATGGCACAATCAGGAACCACTGTGTCGACCTTTCCTCTCTAGCCCCGAAAAACAAGTTGTCACTAATTTGAGAGTGAAAATGGACCCTTCCATAAAGCTAAACAGTCATGTAAACATGATTGTTAAATCCTGTTTTGTTTTTCAGTTGAGGCAACTGTCTAAACTGAAACCCATACTGTCCAAAAGTAACCTTGAGACAGTAATACATGCTTTCCTAACATCCAGGCTTGATTACTGTAACGCACTTCTTTTTGGAATCAGTCAGACTTCAATTGCATGTTTACAACTGGTTCAAAATGCTGCAGCCTGATTTTTAACTGGTACAGGCAAAAGATAGCACACTTTTCCAGTTTTGGCTTCTCTTCACTGGCTCCCGGTTCACTTTTGAATTCATTTTTAAAATCCCTTTGTATGTTTTTAAATCTCTTAATAGTTCTGCCCCCTCTTATCTCTCTGATCTGCTGCAGCCATATGTCCCACAGCGCTCGTTGAGGTCAACAGACCAGATGCTTTTATTGGTTCCAGGCACTCGTTTTAAGCTCAGAGGTGACAGTGCCTTCTCTGCTGCATGTTCAAAACTGTGGAGTGAGTTACTTATTACAGCATGTCAGACAGGCTCCCTCCCTATCTCACTGTTTTTAAGTCTTGTTTAAAAACACTTTAATTCCCTGGCTTTCGATTCAGTGTGAGTTGATTTTAACTTCACTGTGTTTTTATTATTTTAGTCATTTAGTTTACCTTTACCTCTGTGGATTAATATATACACATATATATATACACATATATATATATATACACACATATATATATATATATATATATACACACATATATATATATATATATATATATATATATATATATATATATATATA